TTTTTTTTGACACCCTTATGTGTTATAACGCTGTTTGTTCGCGTTGCAGGCTATCTATACACATGATCCCATCTATTCTAGTTATAGGTGTTTCATTTTAATGCGAATCACGCGATTCCGTGTTTGCGTATCAGTTCTAGTTATCAATGTTTTTATAGTAAATTCGTGAACAATCAAAGTTTTCAGATTTCATCACTCTTTGGAACGTGCCCATAATTTCGATGAATGTCATCTTCACTATTTTGTCTTACTCAGTTCACTTATGCGTGCCCTCTTGTAGCAGTTGTAGCAGTTGGAAATATTTCGCTCTTATGTAGAGTCTGAATGAGAAGTTCTTGGTTATTTCTTTTTTGGAACCGCTTTCATTTTGTGCACAGCGATCTCCAAACACTACTGATGTGAGAAGATGTTTGTGCCACCTTGTTGCTTTGCCATAAAAATGGAAATTTTTCTCTGTCCAGCCTATTATCAAGTGCCCTAACCATGTCACATTTTGGACCATTTATTGTCCACCTGAACCTATCGAGTTTGTAGACCTGTGAACAAGCTTGAACAAGTCATTGCGCTCAAATCTCTAACTTTTGGCTTCTAAAAGAGCAAATACTCGATCATCATTTCCGAATATGTTATCCAGTACACGGTTTTGCTTATGAAAATATATTCATCTCTCTATCAAATGTGTGAACCTTCATATTTACAGGGTGATCCTCCGCACTACTGGCAGTTTGAGAGGACGCCTGTTCGTCAGTGGTGGGCAAAGCATTTTGGCGTTTCTGATATTGAACATCACGAGCGAAATCTTGCTTACTACGAAAAATTAGGAATACAAGCTAGATGGAGGTAAGGACATTCAGAGTTTCCTTCATGTGTGTAACGATGCCGATACCTCGTCGGGTCATGAGCTCAGTTCACGCTAGACGATGCTCCTCCTCGCTGTGTGATTATCTATCTCCATTTTATTTTAGACAAATTGAACAGCGAGTAAAGCACTTGGAAGGCGAGCGCTGGGATTACAAAGCCTGGAGCTACCAACCAGTGTCATCCACCTGGGTGGACTATGGTAGATGGCATGCATTACGCATACGAGACCAATACGAGCAACATGGACATTACCCGCAGTAACCTGTTAGGTAATCTTTTTTGCAAACATGGTCAGTGCGAAATAATCCTGGTCAGTGCGAAATCGCGTCAGCGCATTGCTATCGTGCTCACGATCGCCAGCGAGAATGTTCCGTTTTCAGGCTTTGTCTCCTCGATTGACGGTCTCGTTCGTGGGCTGCTTTCTCCAGTCAAGTAGATGTTGATTTTATTAAGTAAATGTAAATAGACGATAAAGTTACTAGAGAGTATATGTTGTCATTTGCTTTGCAGTGGATTTCGCTTCCTATGCTATATATTGGTTGATATTGATTTGTTCAGTGATAACCCGGGATGATTCTTTCAGTTTTGCTTGTTTTACCACCAAAAGTCATCTTACATGGTCTGATGCGATAGTGGATGACACACAGAACGTAGGTTTGATTTT